TGTAATAGAGGGAATGGTCTAGAGAGAGAGAAAAAAAAAAGACAGAGAGATTTTGTGTCCTTTTAAAACTTCCCCCCCCGATTTTGGAAACTTGTAGTCTGGCCTCTATCCCCAAGAGGAGTTAAATTCTTAAAACTCCGAGCGGTCCCCAGCCCCACAGGCCTTGTTTTGGCGAGCTGAGCCAGTGAAATGATTAACCACAATAATGGCTAAAGCGGAGAACCTCCCTTTATGTATTTTAACATACATATATTTTTTATTTATTTATTTATTCATTCATTCATTCATTCATGCATTCATGCATTAATTTAATGTTTTGGAGGTGGGTCGAGTGCAGTGGTGTTACAACTAATTGATCACAACCAGTTACAGATTCCTTTTGTTCCTTCTCCACTCCCACTGCTCCACTTGACCAGCCTTAAAAAAAATAAAATAAAAAAAAAAATTATATGTTTTGAGACAGACTTCCTTGTGTCGCTCATAAGTATGTGTCACTTCAATCCTCCTCTCTGGCTCATCCTCTCTAGCCTCCAAGTAGCTGGACTAAGCATCACAGGCACCTTAATTTTTTTTTATATATTACTTGCCAATTTTGTTTCTTATTTTAGTAGAGATGACTTGCTCTTCCTCAGGCTGGTTGAACTCCTGACGGAGCAACCACCTGCCTTGCCTCCCAGAGTTTCAGGATATATGCATGGGACACCACCCTACTGCTTATTTTTAATTATTAGGTACCTAATATTTGTATAGTTGGGTAGTGACAGGTCTGCTGTATCGCGGTCATATGGGCACTGCTACTCAAACACCTGGGCTCCATCGATCCTCCTGTCTCAACCTCAGGAGTCGCTGGAACTATAGGCGTGTGCCACCATACTTGCCTGATGCTGCTTCTTCCCTCCCTCCTTTTCTCTCTCTCTCTCTCATTAATTTATTTTATTTCGAATTTTTTACTCTGGAAACAGATGCTGGGCACTGAACTGACAACACTGGAATTTCTTACCCTCCTGGATATTCACACAGGCTCAGGGGAGGCCAAAATATAAAAACACAAAAAGGGATACTGAGCCTATAAGGTATGCCTAACACTCGGATTTTACGTTCTCTTGCCTTTTCACACCTGAGTGACACACAATAGCAAAGGATGGACACAGGCTTCCAAAAGGGTTGTCTGGGGCCCCTTTCCTTTCTTAACCTTAGGAGACCTTAATTATTTGTGCCCTGATCTGATGTTCAAATTATCCTCGTGGCCAAAGCGTTTGCGTGGCACGTGATAGGGAAAGAAGAGTACACCACCCGAATAGATGAGAAGGAATGGCAGTAGCCAAAGGATAGACAGAGCCAACGGGTGGACATCATGGAGTCTGTGCTTTGCAGTCAGTCTAGGGGCACCTGGAGCCATTCAAGCTGCTTGTGAGGAAAAATAGGGAAACAGAAACATCTGCTATGGCCAGGTAAAATTTAGGAAAAGAAATGAAACGTCTCCTCCTCTGGCAGTGCTTTCTGGTCAGATACCGACCCCTTCCAGTCACAGATTCAGATACATCCTGTAATGGAAGCGTGGTGGACAAGTCACTCTTTGCAACTTCCCAAGTTCGTGGGATATAGCCTACTTAGGAAGATGATCGCTTCTGGGAAGGCACCAGCCCTACAGAACTACACAAACACGACAGAAACCCACTCCTCTCCGTTGTGGAAGTCAAGATCAGCTTTTATGAAACCCACTAAACCCACACAAGAAGTAAAATAGGACCATACTGATAGATGCAATTTTAATATTAGAGCAGAATGCCTGGTACTGCTTGTCATCTTAGATACTGTCAACAGAAAGCATTTGGTGGATAAACAATCTCCAGCAGCTTTTCTGCAGAGATGAACCAACCTGTGTGTGTGTGTGTTGGGGGGGAGATGAGCCTAGCTCACAACAATCTCAACCGCCTGGGCTCAAGCAATCCTCCTGCCTCAGCCTCCCAAGAGGCTGGGACTACAGGCATGGGCCACCATGCCCGTCTAATTTTTCTTTCTATATATATATATTACTTGGCCAATTAATTTCTTCTGTTTATAGTAGAGATGGGGTCTTGCTCTTGCTCCAGCTGGTTTGAACTCCTGACCTTGAGCAATCCTCAGGCCAACGCCTCTCAGAGACCTAGGATTAAAGGTGTGCTGGGCCTAAGAGAAATTTTTATCTCTCCCTCCCTGTTTTTTCTGATAAGCCCCTTTATCTTAATTTTTTTTTTGAGACAGAATGTGTGGTACTCCTTGTCATCTTAGATACTGTCAACAGAAAGCATTTGGTGGATAAACAATCTCCAGCAGCTTTTCTGCAGAGATGAACCAACCTGTGTATGTTGGGGGGATAAATAATGAGGATTGAGGACCAGATAAATGACTGAAAAAAAATACTTCCTCTTTCCTCAATACAAGCATTCATTTAAAGGGTATACCTGTATACCTAGGTGGAAAATGGAAGCAAGCTTTACAAAAAAAAACAAAAATCGCTGTGAGCCCCGTCACAGGGTTGAGACTCTGTCTCAAAAAAAAGCAAAACAAACAAACAAAAAAAATTTAAATCACAGAATGAATTCTAGTATTAGAGCAGAATGCCTGGTACTGCTTGTCATCTTAGATACTGTCAACAGAAAGCATTTGGTGGATAAACAATCTCCAGCAGCTTTTCTGCAGAGATGAACCAACCTGTGTGTGTGTGGGGGGGGGGAGATGAGCCTAGCTCACAACAATCTCAACCGCCTGGGCTCAAGCAATCCTCCTGCCTCAGCCTCCCAAGAGGCTGGGACTACAGGCATGGGCCACCATGCCCGTCTAATTTTTCTTTCTATATATATATTACTTGGCCAATTAATTTCCTTCTGTTTATAGTAGAGATGGGGTCTTGCTCTTGCTCCAGCTGGTTTGAACTCCTGACCTTGAGCAATCCTCAGGCCAACGCCTCTCAGAGACCTAGGATTACAGGTGTGCTGGGCGTAAGAAATTTTTATCTCTCCCTCCCTGTTTTTTCTGATAAGCCCCTTTATCTTAATTTTTTTTTTGAGACAGAATGTGTGGTACTCCTTGTCATCTTAGATACTGTCAACAGAGGAAATAAAACGCTGGGGTTCAAACTCTCAGTTTTCCCAATAAAGCATATCCCCCTACCAACCATACTGTGCCACCTCTGAGAGTATATACCCCACAGAGGAGAGCCGTGGAGGCCCTGCTTGGATAGACAGAGCCAACGGGTGGAGATCCTGGAGTCTGTGCTTTGCAGTCAGTCTAGAGGCACATGGAGCCATTCAAACTGCTTGTGAGGAAAAATACCACATCCTAGGGAAACAGAGACATCTGCTATGGACAGGTAAAATTTAGGGAAAGGAATGAAACGTCTCCTCCTCTGGCAGTGCTTTCTGGTCAGATACTGACCCCTTAGAGTCACAGATTCAGATACATCCTTTAATGTAAGGGTGGTCGACAAGTCACTCTTTGCAACTTTCCCAAGTTCCTGGGATATACCCTACTTAGGAAGATGATCGCTTCTGGGAAGGCACCAGCCCTACAGAACTACACAAACACAACAGAAACCCACTCGTCTCCGTTGTGGAAGTCAAGATCAGCTTTTATGAAACCCACTAAACCCACACAAGAAGTAAAATAGGACCATACTGATAGATGCAATTTTAATCTTAGAGCAGAATGCGTGGCACTGCTTGTCGTCTTAGATACTGTCAACAGAAAGCATTCGGTGGATAAACAATCTCCAGCAGCTTTTCTGCAGAGATGAACCAACCTGTGTGTGTGTGTGTGTGTGTGTGTGTATAGGGGGGAGATGATAAATAATGAGGATTGAGGACCAGATAAATGACTGAAAAAAAATACTTCCTGTTTCCTCAATACAAGCATTCATTTAAAGGGTATACCTGTAGACCTAGGTGGAAAATGGAAGCAGCTTTACAACAACAACAAAAAAATCGCTGTGAGCCCAGTCAGAGGGTCCCTTCTTGTCTGGCTGACACTGGCAGCGGTAGTTAGGTGTCACCTAGTCGCCACTTTGATCAGACATGGGGATGGGTAAAGTCAGGTGATGTTGGGAGCTTAAGAGGGGACCCCCCCACCCCAGGTGTGGAGGTCGGCTTTCAAATCTCCTGCAGTGTAGAACATGGTTCTTCCTGGGCCTGCCAGCCCTGAGGCGGCTCTAGCCTCCAGCGGGTCTCAGTCCACCCCACCCACCCTGTTGTCCCCTGGAGGCGCCCCTCCTGCCACTCCCTCCCTGCCTCCCCTCCCTCACAGTAGGCCTCTGCCCAGGTTTTTTTTTTTTTCTTTTCCTTCTTTCTGTTTTATCTTGGTTTTTTGTTTTTTTTTAGGTTTATGGAATATCGTTTAAAAATTTATTTTATTTATTTATTTATTTTTTGAGCCAATAAGATTCTGCCTAATCGTTTAAAAATTTAAATCACAGAATGAATTCTACAACAACTTGTGGCTTTTTATCATAGGCCGAGAACAATGTATTTTCTCTTCCTGTGAATTTTCCTGTCCTGGAAGAAATGCAAAGTTGATCCTGACGGTTCCAAACCATCTTCCAGTTTCCCTGAGTCAGAAAGACGGTGAACACGGTGTATTCGACCGTGTCTCTGTGTGCGTGCACGTGGGTGCCTGTCCTTATTCCTTTTGGGCACCGCGCTCTTTGGTCTCACAGAGTCGGCCTTCCTTGGTCGTGGACTGAGGCCGAACGGACTTAGCGATCGGATTGAAGGGACTTGACTACAGTAACCCGGGTCGGGGAAATTTTATTGATTCCAAAGTATACATTTCTAAATGAATAGGGTGAGCCACACATTCCCGAGGGGCCTCTGTCAGTGGATAGGTGTCCGGGACGGTCCTCCTGCAGCTTGTTGTGGTAGCTCCACATTGAGGAGAGGAAAATCATTCATTTCCCTAATGATCCTAGATGAGTCTGCTGAATTTTTTATGATGTCGTGGAAACATATAAAACACCCTTCCTGGACAACAGCTCCGACTGTCAGTGCCGGCCTTCCTCGTGGAAGGGGATCTGCCGGACCCTTACTAATTCAATTTCTTTCCCATTCCGGGCCCTTCCCTATCGTCGCCCCCTTCACCTTGGATCATGTTCAAGAAATTTGATGAAAAAGAAAATGTGTCCAACTGCATCCAGTTGAAAACTTCAGTTATTAAGTGTATTAGTAACCAATTAATGGAGCAATTTCCAGGTATTGAACCCTGGCTTAATCAAATCATGCCTAAGAAAGATCCTGTCAAAATAGTCCGATGCCATGAACATATAGAAATCCTTACAGTAAATGGAGAATTACTATGTTTTAGACAACGAGAGGGGCCTTTTTACCCAACCCTAAGGTTACTTCACAAATATCCTTTTATCCTGCCACACCAGCAGGTTGATAAAGGAGCCATCAAATTTGTACTCAGTGGAGCAATATCATGTGCCCAGGCTTAACTTCTCCTGGAGCTAAGCTTGACCCTGCTGCAGTAGACACCATTGTGGCTACCATGGCAGAAGGAACACAGCATGCTCTATGTGTTGGAGTCATGAAGATGTCTGCAGAAGATATTGAGAAAATCAACAAAGGAATTGGCATTGAAAATATCCATTATTGAAATAGATGGGCTGTGGCATATAAAGAACAATGAATGAGCCTCAGAAGGAATGCAGTTGGGCCTAAATATGGTATTATTGTGTCGTATCTGTGTTTGTGTCTGTGTGTGACAGCATCAAGACAATGCCTCTGTGGTTATGCTGAATAAATTCAACAAATGCTAAAAAACAAACAAGCAAAAAAAAAACCAAAAAACCCCCTTCCTACTTAACATAGCCAACCGCAAAGTTCATCCCAGGCACAACTATTTAACATCATGAATTTCACAGTGTAATAAAGGGAATGTCTAGAGAGAGGAAGAAAAAAAAGGACAGAAAGATTTTGTGTTCATTTTCAAAATTCCCTTCCACCTCCCCCCCGATTTGGGAAACTTGTAGTCTGGCCTCTATCCCCAAGTGAGTTAAATCTTTTCTTTTAAACCCTGGAGCGAGCGTCCCCAGCCCCACAGGCCATGTTTTTGGCAGAGTTGAGACCAGTGAATGATTAACCAAAACAATGGCTAAAGCAGGAACACTCCCTTATGTATTTTTTAACATACTTTTTTATATTATTTATTTATATTCATTCATTCATCGCATTCATGCAGTGCATTCATTTAATTTTTTTGAGACAGAGTCTCACTTTGTTGCCCAGGCTAGAGTGAGTGCCATGGCGTCAGCCTAGCTCATGGCAACCTCAACCGCCTGGGCTCAAGCAGGAATACAAAATGTGTTCCATAAGAATCCAGTATGATGGAAAACGTAAAAAAAAAGATTCTCTTCCTCCTTGTATTAGTAGTTGTGAACATTAGCTTTTCCCCATGGGGTTCAAAAAGGTACCTAAGTATATTGATTTCAAGTGAAAAATAGGACAGAAATCAGGTATTGGCAGTTTTTCCATTTTCATTTGTCTGTGACTTTTTTAAAATAAATGCAGGATTGTAAGCAGTAATGCAAGTCAATGGCTTTCAGTGAACAAGTTTCTTCAGTTCAACTTTATAACAGATTATATTAAAAACCTGTTAAATTTTTCTGGACAATGCCACATTTGGATTTTTAAAACAAGTTAAATTTCTTATTGACAGCACCCTAAATGGTGTTTGTAGCATTTTTATCGTACAGTAGATTCCATCATTCACTATACTTTTCTAACTGAGTTGTCCTCCGCGTAATGTTTTTAATGTTGTCTGTCTTCTTTGCTGTTCCTGTAAGTTTGCTATAAAAAAATATAAAAAAAAAGAACCCTTTCATGTATTTTTTAACATTATTATTTATTATTTTTATTCATTCATTCATTCATTAATTTTTTGACACGGGGGTCTCTCTTTGTTGCCCAGGCTAGAGGAGTGCGTTGCATCAGCCAGCTCACAGTAACCTTCAGGCTCCTGGGCTCTAGCGTCCGGCCGCCTCCCGCCAGGCTGGACTACAGGCACGCACCACCATGGCCCGAGCTAATTTTTTCTATATATATACATTAGTTGGCCATTAATTTCTTTCTGTTTATAGTAGAGACGAGGTCTCGCTCTTGCTCAGGCGGTTTCGAACTCCTGACCTCGAGCGATCCGTCCGCCTCGGCCTCCCAGAGTGCTAGGATCACAGGCATGAGCCACAATGCCCGGCCAGAACCCTCCCTTTAAAAGCTCTGTATTTCTGCCTAGGCCTATGGTAGAAAGTTGTGGGGTGTTTGAGATGAGAAGGTCTACCGTACTTCCTCCTTTGCCGGCAAAGTAGACTCCCTCTCTCTTTCCTCCTCCAACTGCTGGTCCTCCTCATTCGGCCTCGTGGACAAGTGACCGACGACCTTTTGGTAACACCAAGACTTATAAGTTATGTTATTGATTTTTGTTTTGCTTTTTATTTTTATTTTTTTCTGGGACAGGATTTCTTTCACTCTGTCATCTCCCAGGCCGCCATGGCCTGATCGTAGCTCACGGCAACCTCCAACTCCAGGGCTCAAGTGATCCTCTCCACCTCAGCCTTCTGAGTAGCTGGGACTGTAGGCAAATGCTGCCACACCCGGAGTCATTATTTTTTCCTTTTTTATTGTATTTATTATATTTTTGTGCGTACAGATGGGGTCTTCACCATGTTACCAGGCTTCATCTCGACTCCTGGGCTGGAGCCATGGCTCCCATCTCTGCCTTCCCGGGAGTCGCTGGATTCACAGCGTGACCGTCCAGGCCCAGCCAGATTATTTAAAGGCGAGCTGCTTGCTATCCTGATATGAAAACCCCACATGAGCGAGTTTCAGGCACCAAACAGAGGGAGTCCCCACACTGCATCGTCACGATCATCGAGGACGGCTCACAAAAATGCTGGGATATGGGCACGCAGTAGTGATCAAGGGGATATATTCTAGTGGAATAGCAGACAGATAGAATTTCCCATTCGAATTTCATTCATTCATTTATCATATTGCATATCATTATCATTTAGTCATGCTTTTCTTATTTGCCTCAATATATCTATTGTATTGAACTTGATTTCTCTCTAGCCATTATGTCCGACACAGTGTAGCTAGCCAGCGATTAGTAGTCCTAAGTCCTTATAATATTCCATCGACATTGAAAGCTGATATGAGCAAGTCATGTCCTATAGCTCCTACAGACAACCCTCAGGGGCTCCCGGCGGCTCAAGGCAGAGAAGAAGTCCTGCGGAACAAACTGCCGTACAGGTACTTCACATATGTAAGTCTGGGACGAATATCACGCGTGAGGAGCCCTCCTATCGTGCTGCACACCATTCATGAGATCCCAGTGTCCATATAATTTGTTACATTTAAATATGCAAAATAGTTAAAACTCTATATTTGGTATCCACATTTAAGTGTGTTCTTATACTAATTAATTACATGGGTAAGAAGGGAGCGAGCTATCCTCGATGACTCTTGCTTCGTGATCTGACCAATCTGGTTATAGCAACATACCCATGACCTCATTTTCAGGCCCGAGCCGAGCATTTCTTTCCGTGCAACATACCCGCGCTTCTTGCGGACATTCGGTCCATGTTTCAGTTGCTCCTCCCATCACAGGCGTGAGCCACACCTATGTCCAGCGGCCAGAACCCTCACATTTAAAGCTCTGTATTTCATGCCCTAGCCTATGGTCCAGAAAGTTGGGGGTTGATGATGATGTATATGTCTAACCGTTACCTTCCTCCTTTTGCCGCATATATGTATATCTCTCCTCCATCTCTTCCTCCCCAACCTGCTGGTCCTCATCATTACCGTCCCCGGAATTCCCTCCCGAGCGAGAGGTATAGATCACACTTAGAGTGGAGCGACACTTCTTATGGTACACCCCTACAACAGGTTGAGTCGATAATATATAAATGATGTACTTCCGTTGCACTGTATATTTTTATCATTAGGTATTTTTCTCCATAACAGTACCGGAGACATTCTGATTCACATGCATAGACCCATCTGCAGCAGCAGGCCCCCCAGCGACACAGTCGCCTGACCCATCATGTTAGCCTTCCCGCACTGCGTGCCAACTCTTTTTCTACAGGGCGATCTCATTCTAGAGTAAGAGTGGCGCGCGCGGAGCGAAAAGCCCTTTCTAGCCCCCCTGCAGTACAGAAACCTCTTCTAGTTTAGTGACGAACCCACGACACATATGGTCCTTTCAGGCTTGTCTCCATTTCCCAGACGTGCCCCTGCTATCCTGGTCCGTCTCTCTCTTATCTTTCTCGGGCGAGCGCGCGTACCTCATCCGCGATTACATCCCCAGGGCTTGGCCCTCCCCAGTTTCTTCCACCATCTCCAGGTCTGGCCCTCACAAAGCGCTCATCTGCGCGACTGACACAGAAGATCTCGATGCTTCCGTTTGCTCCTTATGCCATCTCTGCCTCCGAGTAGCTGGATCACAAGGCGGAGCCCGCTTTTTTTTTATTCATTTATTTATTTATTTATTTATTTATTTATTTATTTATTTATTTATTTATTTATTTATGTGTGTACGTATTTTGATAGTTTTACAAACTCACCTTATATATGCGAACTTATTTTTTGGGTGTGTGTGTGTACGCATGTATTTTTCTACTTTTTATGTACGTACTTTTTAAATATATTTTTTCTTAATTTTTTTTCCCCTCTCCGTGGGTCGACCAGATGTCCGGTGACACTTGGTCTCTGTGGAGATGGATTTGTTGACCCTAGGGGGCACCCTCCTCTGCTGCCTGGCATAAAGTACATGCATGCATTCATTTTTTTTTTTAAACTTTTATTTTTATTTTTTATTGTTTCCCCCCCACACCCCACACACACTTGTCTCGATGGGTATGGAATGGGAGGAGAGGGCCCTGCCGCTTTCCTCTCTCTCTTCATTTCTTTTCTGCTGTCTTTTCCTTGAGAGATGTCTCTCTATCCACCAAAGGTGTCGGTTTGCCTTTCTCTAGGCCGGGCGGAGTTTTCCAAGTCTGCGCTTGACTCTAACCCTAACCCCAAGACTGAACCTAACCCTAACCCTAACCCTAACCCAAACCCCAACCCTAAACCTAACCCTAAACATCTAACCCTAAACATCTAACCCTAACCTTAAACATCTAACCCTAACCCTAAGCCTAACCCAAACCCTAAACCTAAGCCTAACCCTAAACATAACCCTAACCCTGATGATGCCACCGGGGGTCAGCCATCCCGCCAAGCCTGCCCTACCACGCTTGGGCAACTATCCGGCCAGGAACCGTTAAGCGCCGTCGGTGGTGATGGCGGAGGCAGTGGTGACACTGACACTCTTGAGAAGAAATGAATGTCTAGCTATTTATTTACACACAGGTGCACACGCACGGCAAGCAAGCTCACCATAGATACCGCTTGTTTTCATTTGGGCGATCTTTCTTCACTGATCTTCACAGAATCCAGTAGCCTACAAAGTAAATAAAGTCCTCAGAATCACACTCACATCCTCAGAATATATGAATATATATATAGAGAGAGAGAGAAAATTTTTTTTAGACAGAGTCTCACTTTGTTGACCATCCTGATAGATGCAATTTTAATCTTAGAATGCGTGGCACTCCTTGTCGTCTTAGATACTGTCAACAGAAAGCATTCGGTG